TGGCACGGCAAGCAATACTCCGGCAATGAGTTGACAGCCGGAGCGCCTACATAAAGCAGGTGTAATCACAAACAAATGCGCAACAGGTGTGCAGGTGGCAGAGTGAGTGCCTGCCACCTGCTGTCGAATACGGGACGTGACAGACAAGGAACGGTGCCATTTTTTTTTAAACCAGCGTGTGACTTCCGCGTTCAGGCAAATTAAATGTAAAAAAAAAAAGTTAAATGTTCCAACCTCATTCTGGATTGAGTTTGGCTTGAACGTCAAGAAACCATCCCTCTTTCCAGCCTCCATGGGCAGGTTGCACATGATTTTTTTTTTGCTGCACCCAAATTGAATTCAGACCAAAGCCCTATTGCCCTCTTCTCATAATTAGACATGTAAAATATTTTATTGTCGATACTTTTAAAAATGAATATACCTGTTGGGTTTTGTCCTTCAGTGCTCACTGCAGCCATGTTTTGGGATGTGATGGCTTGTCTTTCACAACCTGGAGGCAATACCATTGTTAGGTCTCTCCTGTGTTTTTTATCACTCAATTTAACACCCAGAATTGTATTGTCTTTTGAAAAAAAAATCACTTTAACACCCAAAATATATCCATCCATCCTTCCATTTTCTGATCCGCTTTATCCTCACAAGGGTCGCGGGACCCAAAATATAGAATACCCAAAATGTTGCTGATTACTGGTTGATCTCTCTCTCTCTCTCTCTCTCTCCCTCTCACACACACACACACACACACACACACACACACACACACACACACACACACACACACACACACACACAGCTATTGAAGCAGGATTAGGGCACCCATGTCGGCCTTTGAGGCAAGGAAAGATGGGAATCTTTGTCTGTGCGTGTGTATGTGTGTGTGCTTGTCAGTATGGGTGTCATGGGTGTATGACTGAAGATGTTATTAACTTCACAATCGCCTGCAGCTTGTTGTTGCTGACTGTCGAACGCGTGCGTACAAAAACGGCGTCTTCTATTTGTGTCGCTTATCACAGGACACGGTTGTGGTATTAATACTTTATAAGTAGAGATATGCGCATTGTTTTACATATATTGATGGAAAGGTGTAATAATGTGCATGGTCGCGCTGTCGTGTTCCATCTTTGCTCTTGATTTCATATTTAATCCTTTATTACTCATCACTTAGGGGGTGCTGCGAGATAGCCATCATGAAGGGACAGTGAGCGTGAGACACAAGCCATTAACTTTTTCGATGGTGTGCCAAGAAGAATTCTTCTAGCAGGAAACAAAAAAAAAGAAAAGGAAAAAAAGTGCAGATGCAGGCAGCAGATGGACGCGTGGCCTTTTATAAAAGAGCAGCCTTGTCATGTTCCGTATTCGACAGCAGGTGGCAGGCACTCACTCTGCCACCTGCACACCTGTTGCGCATTTGTTTTTGATTGCACCTGCTATATCTAGGCGCTCCGGCTGTCAACTCATTGCCGGAGTATTGCTTGCCGTGCCACTGCTATTGCCCATGCTCGTATTTCGTATTCGCACTCTATTGCTATTCGCTACTATTTCGTCATCCCAGTGGGATTCTCTTTAACGCGTAGTTCTTCGAGTAAATTGTCTTATCTTTTCCTTGCCGTTTTTTGCAAGCGCTTTCTTTTCCTCACGTTACATTATTTCCTGGTTCTCGTTTTGACCAGCGTTTTCTGTTTTCCTTTTGACGGTGTTTTTTCGTTTGTAATAAATATTATTTGTTAGACAAGACCTTGTCAGTGCCTGCTATTTCGGGGATCCACCTATTCTTGTTCGCTCCGTTGCGTACGAAGCAGTTCTCTCTTTCTGCCTAGTACGCAACGTGACATTTTTGTTTTGTGTGCAATAAACTTGGCAATGATGAATTACGGTTCTTATTGTTTTTCTCTTGAAATATCTTGATACTTGTGCTTCACTGTGACTGTGTCTTGGCCGTTGTTCACTTTTAATTTATTGTAATTCCCTTCACTGTTGGCAGGATGCACACGGTCGGTTGCAGATGCAATCTGTTCGCTTTTTTTTTTTTTTTTTTTTATAAAAAACACACCGGCAACAAAGCAGCTTTTTCAATGTTGGTGTTAATATTCTGAAACGAAAGCAAAATCTACTATCGTTTTTAATTATTATTGTAATTATGTGTTTTCAAACGTAATATTCAATGACCAAAAGAGACACGCACCAGAAAACTTGTAAACAATCCACAACAATTTACAGGCCATTCCTTCTTTGTCTCATGCTGTGTACTATTTCAATTTTAGGAATAAAAAAGGAAAATCCAATTGTTATTAGACTATTTCCTGACTACAAAGAGAATAATGCTGTGTTTTATTTTGGTGTTTATTTTAAAACGAAATTAAAATACAGTGATCCCTCGCTCTATCGCGGTTCGTTTAGCGCGGCTTCAGTGCATCACGTTTTTTTTTTTCCCCACAGTACTGTATTCGGAAAAAATTGCCGAATGACTCAGAGGTTTTGTGCATGGCTGTAACTTGATTGGTTCCCAACGCCGACGTCCACCAATGACAGCACAAGTGGATCTATGACATCAACATGCACATACGAAGACATGTCCTCCCGAGTCAAAGCACCGTACTGTGTCGTGTCGCGTGAAATTCATCTTGCCCCCCATCTGCTTCTCCTTCTGTTTGCGAATAAATATTGGCTGATAAGCCATTGAGGAAAATCAGGCTTCTTCTGGAACGCAGGGACATCCATGACACTGCGTCAAACAACAGTGCCCTTCAAAAACCATGATGACCAAAAGCAATTTGAAATGTGGACTCCTCAGACCACAGCCCACTAGAGTGGGAAAAAAAGATTTTAATTTTATTTACATTTTGCAGCACAACATTCAAACTTTAGAATTGGTGGCTTTGTATATCTCAGTTCGCTGTTCCTCTATTCGAGGTGAGTGTGATGAGTTCAGGAGGAGGAAATGTTCTTGTAACGAGAATGTGGCATGTGTGTCACAGCACAGTAGTAAACTGCAGAGTGCTCAAGCGCCACATCCTCCATGTGCAGGTGCACTCGCTCCCTGTCACTTGCCATGCTGACCGACATTCCCGGCTTGCCCTTCAATGGTTTGCCATTTCCTAAGTGGGAAAGCAGGAAAAGTGGCTCTTGTCCAGGAAGTTGTTTGTACCAGAAAAAATAATCACCACTAGTAGCCTTATGGGCGGCTCGGTAGTCCAGTGGTTAGCACATCGGTTTCACAGTGCAGAGGTACCAGGTTCAATTCCAGCTCCGGCCTCCCTGTGTGGAGTTTGCATGTTCTCCCCGGCCTGCGTGGGTTTTCTCCGGGTATTCCGGTTTCCCCCAAAAATATGCATGGCACTCTAAATTGTCCCTAGGTATGAGTGTGGGCGTGGATGGTTGTTCGTCTCTGTGTGCCCTGCAATTGGCTGGCAACCAATTTAGGGTGTCCCCCGCCTACTGCCCGAAGACAGCTGGAATAGGCTCCAGCACCCCCCGCGACCCTAGTGAGGATTAAGCGGTTCGGAAAATGGATGGATGAATAGTAGCCTTATCGGGGTCAAGGTATGACAGTGTCACCCCACTGCCTTTTGACGCCAACATTTCAGTCGTGACTGACACCAGTTCGCTGCTGGTGCTTGAAGGATGAGACAAAAGCAGTTTCAGCATTCGGTTGAGTGACTCTTCGCCTCGCCAAGCAATACTCACCTGCCACACTGATGATGAGCAGCAACCAAGCTGACAGCAACGTGCCGAAGAAATTTCTGTCAACTCTGCTTCGTCTTCTGAACTCAAGATGTCATCGCGTGACTGAAGCTCCTCCCTGATCACATGAGCCCACGCCCCAAACTGCCTTTTACTTTTACAGGACTGTGGATCAGGCAACTTCCAAAGATTCCAGGTGATGTGCCTTGCTAGACATGCACACCTTTGCAGGAAGACAAAAAAGTGAAAAAGAGCACGCTTTCCTCTCATTTCGCTATTTTTACTTGATCTGATGTGGTCATTTGGTCCGAATCAAAGGGTGTCATTCGTCGTGAGTACAATGAAGTAAGCACAAATCAACTCACTGCTTCAGAATTGTCTTCATGCCAAGAGAACGGAAGGTTGGAGCTGCCACTGTGTTAATTTTTTTTTTTTTTAAAATCATAATGTCACTGGGTAAGCGCATGCACAAGTCAATAGCCCGTGGCAATTACGGGAAATAATAAGAAGAAAACATTTTATTTTACAAGCGCCTTTCAAAACACTCAAGGACACTTTACAGTCAGGAACAAAAACAATAAAACCACAGATGAAATTATCAATAATAAAAGAAGAGGTGAATTTAAACTGAGTATGCGATTTTAAATAGGTGGGTTTTGAGATGGGATTTGATGGGCAGAGGGTGCACAAAGGTGGAGGGAGGATGAGGACCTGAGGGAATGAGAGGGAACGGAAATTTGGAGAAGGTCAGACAAATGGGGGAGGGGGGGCAAGGTGATAGATGGCTTGAAATGTATAGTGAAGTATTTTGTAATTTATTCTAAGTTTGACAGGGAGCCAGTGGAGCTGTTGGAGGGTGGGGGTGATGTGATGAAAGGAGGGGGTTCTCGTGATGATCCGGAAGAATTCTGAACCATTTGAAGTTTATGGAGGAATTTGTGATGGACACCGAAAAGAAGTGAATTATGAATAACAATAGTCGATACGGGAGGTGACAAGACTGTGGACAAGGATAGAGGTGGTGTGAGGGGTGAGAACAATTTTGATTGATTTAATATTTGGACATACTGGCATTCTAAAACAGGCAGGACAGTGGCTCTCGAGGACCATAGTTTTGTCCGTTGCTCTACTGGTCATTGGATATTACGTTTGAAAACTGATATTCAAAGTTGTTTCACCTTTTTTTAATATCGAAATGCCAACATTGAAATGCAGCTTGATGTTCAAGTTTGTTGTCTGTCAGGAAGAAGGACAAGTCTAAAATCAGGTTGATATTAATTTTTTAAAGAAAATAGAATTTGGCACAAGACACAAATGGAAATAGGGGTTTCTTTTTCGATTCACAGAAGTTGTCACCGTCAGCATTTCTCCCACTGCCAAAAAGAGGGCGACAACGTGACACCTGAAGACGATATCGTGACCGGTTCTGAAATGCTCCATTTGTATCCTGAATTCCACAGACGAGCTACAGGTGTAGAAAATTGTTGGTACCCTCTCTTACAGAAATAAAGAATAATGAAACAAACAAACAACAAAAAAAAGTAATCAAAATGAATGAATGAAAATCTGAAATTGCTGTTGAATTCTAGTTAAAATAATAATAATGGCAGCCCGGTAGTTGACTGGTTGGCACATCGACTTCACAGTGCAGAGGTACCCAATTCCAGCTGGAGCCTTCCTGTGTGGAGTTTGCATGTTCTCCCTGTGCTTGTGTGGGTTTGCTCCGAGGCCTCCGTTTTCCTCCCACATTCCAAAAAAAAACATGCATGGCAGGCTAATTGAACACTCCAAATTGTCCCTAGGTGTGAGTGTGAGCGCAAATGATTGTTCATTTCGTGTGCCCTGCAATTGGCTGGCAACCGGTTCAGGGTGTCCCCTGCCTATTGCCCGAAGACAGCTAGGAAAGGCTCCAGCACCCGCGATGACCCTAGTGAGGATAAAGCTGTTCGGAAAATGAATAATAATCATACCTCTACCACTCCTATTACTAATAATAATAACACATATTAGAAGCATTCCCGCTTGGGCGACAAAATAAACTTGGGTCAAAAATGC